AGTTGAGAAACATTATCTTAAAAATGTAGAAAATAGTGCTAATCTTATAGAAGTGGGTGCATATAAATTAAATATGCACCCACTTCTGTGCAATATGAATGAGAAAAATAAAAATTTGATATAAAATATTTATATGTGACTAGGTTTTCTTTTGACTTAATGCCTAAGGATTTCCCTCCCAGGTGACAACATGACCAAACACATAATGTGAACAATATTGAAATGTTCACAATTGTTCTTGTTTTCTTTAAAAAGTGAGATGTGATGGAAATTGCATGTAGAAGTTTTAATAGCACACATTTGTTAATGGAAAGAGGGTGCCTGAACCCATGGCAGCTTACTACAATAATTAGATAGATTGTTTTGCATTGTTGCAGGATAACTATCTCAAAAAATGATAGCCTCTTTTCTTTCACTATGCTTGCACATTAATCAGCAGATATATTTAGCACAGACTAGGGGAATATTTGATTACATTTCAAAATTTAGCGAGAACCTGAGGATCTTTAAACTCAGAAAGAACACTCACAATGTAGGAGATATTTAATTTCATACAAGTATATGGAAATCAACTTCAGTGTTAAGGATGTTAAGGGACACTTTGATTTAGTCTGAATTTTAACATTGCTAATATAGTGAACTAAATGATATGTCCTCTGTAAATGAAATGAGTTGTGAGAAACAAGAAAACAGTAACATTTGTACCTGTACTATCACAATTTCTCTGCCTATCGTTTAAGCCACTGATAGCCATGGTGTTCTAAATGGTCTCTTCTTGCTTTCTTTTTGTACTTTTCCAAATGGGAGAAGTTAATAGTAATGTTGGGATTCTCACTGCTGTTTGTCCATCTTCTGGCATGTCCACTGGACAAAGCTATTCATGCAAAGATGAAAAGAGGCTTAAATAGAGGAAAACAGACGGAGTCCTTGGTGAGCTCTGAACTTGGTTCTTTGCTTGCAGAGGTTTCTTTACCAGGCGAGATAACAGATGGTTATTAATTAGGACTCTGAGGACTGCAGCCAGTCCAGATCAATGTGGTTCTTGGATTAATGGAGATGCATTACTTCGTCTTGATTCAGTGGAACAGTTAATGGGGCCAAGTCATTTCAGTTCTACAGAATGGGGAGAGGAGCCTAATCAGTTTTGATTACCCTCTTCTTTTAGATGGAAGTCACTGTATATACAGGAACCACTTTTGATGAAAAATGAAATGTACTTTATAGAAATGTGTTGTGACTCAGCAGAAGTTGCTGTGAGTTGAGTCGGGATGCAAGATTAACAATGCAGCTGGGCTTGTTAGTGGCGTCTTCTGGTGATTAAAGGACGGATGGTGCCACACCCTGGTTGCAGGAGTCAACGTTCATTCATTCGTTCATCATTCATTTGTCGTGGTTTGTTTGTGGGAGACACTTGGAGAAGTGATTTGCTTTCTGTAACCCTGATTCAAGGAGACACTTGGAGAAGTGAATTGTTTTGTAAGAGTTTTGTTTTGCATTCTGTTATCTTCTTGAAAGAGACTTTATTTCTGTTTATTTTTGGGCTTGCAGCCAGTCTGAGCCGAGGACTGATAAAGTTCTTTCCTTTTAGGTTTGTCTGCCTCTTAACGAGCGGAGAAGAGGGGACTGAGCACCCTTCTGCCATTCTACCAAATTTGCATCTTTTTTGAGTATTGGTATCATTTGAAAAAGAAATAAAAACCTAGGCAAAGCATTCAT